GGGAGGGTGAGCCCCGGGGTTGCTGGGGGGCGGATGAGAGCGGCTGAGACGCGGGGGGGTCGGACCGCAGGAGAAGTTGAGGTGGCCGGTTGTTACTCGGGGGTGTGGGAGAGCGAGAGTGGGGCCTTGGTGGCCGACGTTCTGATGTTGAGCGTATATATCCTTGGCCTTTGTTTTCCTTGCAGTTCCCCAGAGACTTATCCGCAGCCTCTGCCCCGGCCCAGCCGTCAGTCTCCAGCTGCCAGCTCAGCCTGGAGGCGCCTGCCTCCGTTCTCCCGAATGGTGTGCTTCCTCGCAGGCCTTGGCCCAGGATCCAGGCCCCCTCCGCTCCCTGCCTCGGAGCAGCAGCTGCCCGTGGCTGGGAGGGAAGAACTTTTGCGCGGACAAGGCTATAGCTCTAGGAACCCCACTGACGACTGGAATCTCGGCCTTTAATCCAGCGCGAGTTCTTTCTGTGCCTCCTTTACCAGTCTTTGAGAAGAGAAACCCTTCATCCTGCCACCCAGAGCCCAGAAGCCCCAAACTGGGGCCCTGGTCCCAGCATGTCAGTCCTCTCTTATGTATAGGGCTGTGCCCTCCCCCCGTCAGCATGGCTGAGCACAGGCAGGTTCCAGGGGGGCGGGAGACTCCTCAGGGGGAGCTGCGGCCGGAGGTTGTAGAGGATGAAGTCCCTCGGAGCCCAGTCGCAGAGGAGCCGCGAGGAGATGGAAGCAACAGCAGTGAGGCCAAATTGTTTCCCGGGGATGAAGAGGAGCTGGATCCTAGAATTCAGGTGAGAGGACTGATGGGGGAGAGACAGGGGTGCTAGCTTTCTTGAAGAGTTGGCAGATGAGTGCACTGGGGCAGGAAAGGAAAACAAGCTTGTCAACAAATCATTGCAATGCTGTGTGACAAGTGCTAAAAGATTAGTCTGGTACGGGAGTGCCAAGAAAGGCAAGCTCAGGTGCCTGGGGTGGTTGCTGAAGCCTCACTGAAGAACCGAAGGGACATGCAGGAGGCACGCTTCAGGTCAGTGCAGAGTAGAATTGTTCTATCCAAATAAGCAGCAGGGCTGTCAGCTCAGACGTGGTGTGATTGGGATGTAAGAGGAGGTGACTTTGAGATTGGGAGGCAATCTCAGCTTCTCATCAGTGCCTCCCAGGGATGTCCACATCTATAAAGGGTGAGACCATTCATGTGTTATAAAGGTGGCATCAGGTTTAGGCCTCTGAGGAAGTCTGATATGTATTGGTCCTGGTCAGTCCTCAGTAACACAGATGCCCAGCTCTAATGATCCTGTGGCTATCAAGTGGATAAGAGCTGATTTGTCACCTCGGAGCTTTTGCAGGTTGGTTGGTCAGCTGGGCAGCTCTTTGGGAAGGACACCTAGAGTAATGGATGAGGGCCGAGGGTAGGCACCATGTGGATGAGATGTTTGGCCAGCTGAGGCTGGCTTGCAGTGATCCCGGGCAGGGGCTGGGAAGGACTAGCTGGGGAAGCTGCTTGGGCAGGTGAGGGTCAGCATGTTCCTGTGTTTGGGGCTGAGTCTGCCCTTTGGTTCAAAGCATCTTCAAGATTCTGGTGTGTAGGTGACTCACACCTATGTAGGTGAGCAACACATCCCTAGGCTTGCTTCCTGGGCTTCTTTGTCAACAAACCTTTAGTAGATTACTTTGGTGTGTCCAGAAGAAGTCACCGCTGGTCCTAGAATCCTTCCTGCCCTCTTGGTGGGGTTCCTGGGATGTGTGTGGGAACTGTGTCCCTGCTCACCGCAGAGTGGTGGTGCGTCAAAGACATTCCTGCTGTGTTTCACAGGCATTGCATTGAAATCCACTCAGTTTCTCCTGCTAATTCTACAGATTTGTCCTCCACTGAGGAACCAAGTTGTGAAAAATACCTTGGGCTGAGGTTTAGGCAACCTTCTTCCTGATGATTTGGGATTTTCATGTAAGTTAGGCAACCTCTGCGAGCCTCAGTTTCTTTATCTGTAAAGTGAGGGGTGTTCTCCCTGATTTGCATGACTCCTTCCTGCACTGCTCTGACAGACCTGTGAATCTCTCACAAATTCCTTAGTCTGTCTTTTGGTGACAGTTTGTAGGTAGTGCCTTGGGAAAGACACCCCCATGTGCATTGGGGAGGAGGGCCACGTGATGTGCTGCATGCCCCTTCAGCGTTGCTGGCCCTGCTTCTGAAGAGAATCCAGCAGCTTCCTGCAGTCCCTCCTGTGTCCACACAAGAGTCACTCCCGTGCTTCACTGTCCAATCACATTGTCACTAGCTGCATGTGGCTACTTAAAATCAATTAAAATGAAATGAAAATGGAAGATGCAGTTCCCCAGGTGCTATTGGGAGTGTAGAACTAGGACGTTCTCTGAGGCTTGGAGGACACTGGGCACACGTGATATCTATCCCCTGACCTCCGGTGAGCCCACCGTGACTTGCCAAAGTAGGAGGTGCATTGTGGGTTATGTAGGAAGAAGAGGCCTCCTTACACAGGTGGCACTCAGCTGGGCCAGTGTCCTGGCCTCAGTGGGGACTCAGCCCTTGTCATATGGGAAGGGCAGGCTGCTGTGAGGGGCACCCTCATGGAGCAGGCAGTTGGCATTCAGCCCTTCGGGGTTTGGGCTCCTCTGGGCCTGGGTCTCCTCCCCTATGACTTTCTCACCTGCTTTGTGATGGGCTCATTCTTTCCTGAGGCAAGTGATACATTCACTCAGATCCTCAAGGGTGACTTTGCAGCCTACACTGCATCTGAAATGATGACTTGGCTCATAGACAGCTTTATTTCCCTTATTTCTGAGACCTGGGCCATGCATCATCCTGGCCCCACCCACTGACCATGGCTTAGTGTTTCAATGGCCGGCACAGGTGGGCAGGCCTCTGCCACAGAGGCCTGGCATCCTGGGAATGCGCTACGTGCCCAGGAAGGTCACCATCCCTGCTGGCTGCCGGCTCACTGATGGGCATGTTTGCTGACTCAGACCTCATTTCCTGGAGTTCTGTGTCAGCAGCTACCAGGAGTCCCCAGTGGGGCAGGCCACATGGAAAGTGTTGCCAGCTGCCTGAACCACTCAGTGCTCCTCAGCTTCCACTCAGCCTGGCTGCCCCACCCCTTGCCTACTCTGCCCTCCAGCCTTTTAGAGAGAGCTTTGTGACTGAGGGGTAGACCTCATTCAGCAGAAGACTTTTAATTGCTGGAGCTGCTGTGCTGAAGCAGATTCCTGCCCTTCACCAACAGCCAAAGCCCTGCCTGTCCTTTTTCTAGTGGGGGATGACTTCCGTAGAGCCATCCACTCTGATGACCTTGTCAGGGGCTGGGAACACTTTAGGCCATGGAACTGAGTGGGAGGCGGGCTGGACCTTTGTCTCCACAGGAACAATGCCGGGTGACCTGCGCCCGCCTTCTCTCCTTCCCCAGAATCAATGTTCATTGCTCCCCTGAGGCCTGTCCTTTTCCTCCCAGGGCCGTGGTTTTCTGAGGTGATGGTGTCCTGTCTTCTCTGAGGTTTCCATCCAGGGACATCCTTAGTGTGGAGGGTGGTCACAGTAGTAAGAAAGTCAGATCAAAGGGTGAGTGCAGGATCCAGCCCCAGCTCTGTCACTTATGGCTGGATGTCCAGCTTATTCTTTCTTTTTTTGTTTTTTGTTTATCCTCACCCAAGGATATTTTTCCATGGACTTTTTAGAGAGTGTGGGTGGGTG